TAGAGGATAATAGAGGATTTTAGAGGAGCTGTGGTCACCCTGATTATAAATGAGGTAAGAGACCAGTACTTTTGATTACCTCCGCATGATTTTGTATTCTATCTTTATGAGACGTTCCATTAAGAACACAAGGTAAAATTTTAAAACATAACAAAAATGAGAATAAAAAATTTTTTACGTATCTTATAAAAATATACCTTTTACAACTCCATACAAACTAAAGCTCTTAAGGCATATTTTTACCTTTGTCCTTCAAATTCATGGACGTCACAAATTTGATGAAAATTTTCATAAATTTTAATAGATAAGAGAACTAATATAAGTTTAATTGAATCATTTTCAAACAATTTTTTTGCTAAATAATTGAATCCTTTAAATCTCTGAATAATTAAAAAATATTTCGATTACCTCAGCATTATTTTATAAATTCTGTCTTTTTAAGATATTCCATCAATTGCATTTAACTCAATTTGTTTCAAAAAAATAAACACGTAATCTAGTAGTATATTTATTACTATCTTTATTGAAATACTCGTCATATATTTTTTAAGTGACTGATAAAAATGAAATTTAACTAAAATCACTTTGTTTGACTAAAATTTAAAAACTTTAGTCCTGGTCTACCCATTATCATTGCTTCGGATTAATAAAAAAAATTAAAAAACAGAATAAAAGCATTTTCTAACAAGCAAAAACACTGATTAACCCAATTTAAAAGTTAATCGTCAAACTTCATAAAAATAAAATAAAATGGACCAAAAAACAAACAAAAACCATGTTTTTTATCTTATTATCAAACTCATTATCTAATTGATAATTGTTTTTATATTGGCTAGGCTATGGCATGAAATTGATCCTATATTAGAACAGGCATAGTTTTAAAACACACCTTGGAGAATGAATGCTCGGATATAAAACTTTAGATATCATCATAGGAGGACCTTGTATGGTAATCTTCTTTTATAGAATCAATTATCACGGAAAGCGTTACTCCTGTAGTTATTTACTTCTAAATAATTCCATTTCTGTGCATCAATACAAAATCTTAAGTAGTATGACAAAAAAAAACTCACTCCTGTTCTGAAGAACAATTTAACACCAGTAATGACATGTGGTTGTAAAAAATGACATAACTTCGCCCATAATGTATTACAAACATGTTACTGAAAATAAAACTGTGTACTTTAAATATTATGTTGCCTTAAAACCATTGAAATCATACAACCATATAAGAAGTCATTGTTCTAATATATATAGCTATACGTTTTGACATAACGCTTTAAACATAAAATTTAAAATAGTTCTAAAACTAAAGAGTATAACTATTTAATAAAATACATTTTAAAAATCACCCATGATAATTGTGTTTTTTCGTCATCTAACGACTTGCCTACTTCATCAATTTCAACTACTGACAAAATAAGCTTTATCTGTTTCACAAATTCACAATTATAAGCAGGTTTCGCCATTGTGTTTTGGCTTCTAAGCTCATTTCTTATATCAGTAAGTACACTCTTTTTTTAAACCCTATAAATGAAAATAGTTTCACAAAACAACTTTTGTTGAATATTTCTGCAAACCTCATAAATTTAATAAACTAAAAAATAAGTAATAACATACTGCCTTCAGTCATCGGGAACTTATAAATGTAGTCGAATTTTGGTTTCCTCATTGGATACTGTTTTTTGAATTTTTTTTTTTTTAATGAATTGAACTAAAACTCAAAATAAATAAAAACAAACCATAACTTTCATTATAAAAAAAAATATAAATTTTAAAATTTTAAAAATCAATTTTGTTAATGATTTTTCCAGTAATTTTTACTCAATAAATTAATGCTTTAATAAATAAATTTATGAAATAATGACCTAAATCGTCAGAAGACAAACACCAAATGTCTTCTCGTACAGACTTTGAATAGGTAAAGTTGTTTTCTAGCCGTACACATATATTTTTGGCTCTAAATTTTAAACAAAATTCAAAATTAAAAGTAAATCATCATTCAACTATAAATATCTATATAAAGAACACAATATATTTATATAATACAGCAAAAAAAAAAAAAAAATTCTTCTCTTGTATGTATGTGTGTCGGATTTAGGAGAAACGAGGTCAAAGGTTTAAAAGATCGAAATGAGTTTGGCAAAAAAAAAAATAAATAATGACATAAAGTTATTTCTTATTGTTATGTTAATGTTATTGCTATTTTATTTTCTATTCTGTTTAAAATGTCAATGTGCAAAAATGTTATCTCTAGGATCAAGAAAACCGCAGTAATATGTCTAATATTTAAAAAAAGAAACCCATCGTTATCCACAAATTTTAGACCTATTTCTATGACATGTATTGTCTGTAAAGTTATGGAATCAATGATCATGGAAAGCATTACAAGTTATTAACACCTGATTAATTTTGTTTCTGTGCATCAATATGGTTTCTTAAAGCGTAGAACCTCATATTCACAGATAATGACAACATTAAATCAGTGGACCACTGCTGTTAATAAATAAAAGATAATTGACATCATCTATATAGACTTTGAAAAAGACTTAGATACTCTGTCTCACACAACTTCTTGTCAAATTGTTCTCAACGTGTTTGTATTAATGATTCATACTCAAACAGCATTCATATAAAAAAGTGGAATACCTCAAAAAACTGTTTTAGGACCCATTTTATTTTTAATTTTAATAAATGATATAACCTCGTGTATTGAAGGGGATTGATGAATCAAGCTTTTTGCAGATGACAAGTTGTATCAAGCGAAAAAAGACGGAAATAATATCAACCTTGTAATACTTTAACTTTTTAAAGAGAATTTCAGAATGGTCAAATAGTTGTCAACTTAATGTATTTACCAAAAAGTGTTTTTATCTGCAATACGGAAAGAATCTATTACCAGAACATTCATACTTATTGGATATCGACACGCCTGTCGAATCTATTGATTCAATCCAAGATATTGGGATGTATATTTCTTCCGATATGAAATTTTTTAAACACCGTTCTCACATTGCTAGCAAAGCAGGTTCTTCTGCTTACTTTTTCTTAAAGTCTTTCATCAGTAATGATTCCCAACTTTTGATAAGAGCCTATAAAGTTTATACTCGACCAATTTTAGAGTCATGTAACTCTGTGTGGAATCCGTATTTCCTAAAAGATATACGTCGGGTAGATAAAGCCCAGAAACACTAAACAAAAATTGTCTACAAACGGTGTTGTATTCCATAAAAAGATTGTGCTTCAAGACTTGATATCTTCAATCTTGACTCTCTTGAATGCCGTAGAATAAAATTTGATCTTTTAATGACTTATGAGATAATACACAACTTAGTTAATTTGCCTTTTTTTGAGTTTTTTACTCTCGCTCCTACTCATTATTTAACTAGATGTCATTCTCAAAAATTAACATCACGTAACAACTACTTCAATAATATAAGGATATTTTTTTGCAGTTAAAGAGTTACTAATATATGGAACTCTTATCCTTTATATTTGGTGAATTCCTCTTCATTGTCTCTAGTTAAATCAAATTTAAAAACATATAATATGCAGAGACACTGTATGTATATATATATATATATATATATATATATATATATATATATATATATATATATATATATATATATATATATATATATATATATATATATATATATATATATGATACTTCCATTACTACTTTGGTAAATGTTATTAAAACTAACTATTATTTAAACAAAAAATATAAATTTTACTTAATCATAGTTAAAGCTATGATTAAGTAAAATTTATATTTTTTTTAAAATTCCATTACTACTTTGGTAAATGTTATTAAAACTAACTATTATTTAAACAAAAAATATAAATTTTACTTAATCATAGTTCAAGCATGATAAATCGTTGCTTATTATGTATGGCAATGATTTAATATGCTTGTAAAAAAATCTAGATATTCTCTTTGTTTATGTTTTCTTTTTGATAAAATCAATATCCTTATTTTCACTCTTTTCCTCGATCGTTGTGAACTTAAAAATTTCACCTTATTTTCTGTTTTCAATGGAAATGAAAATGTTATAAAAATATCTTTCTTATTTAGATTAAAAATAAAAATTAAGAAATAGATGTTACACCTGAAGTTAATTTTTAATAGCGGAAACTATAGCTAATTTTTGCAAGGACTTTGAAGACAAGTTTTTCCCATAACTGTAGTTTTAAAGGGCGTATAAACAAGACCAGAAATAATTTAAAAGCTTGAATAATTTTTTTTTATTAAATATTAGACTGCCTGCCCTAACTTAATCTCTTAGTCAATTTAGCAACACTCCCTTAAGTGTCAGGCTATTTGTCAGTCGATGTAACAAAACTCAGTTGCGAGTCAGGCTATTAGATTTAAAAGAAACTTTCTAGTCATTATCATTGCGGTTTTTTTTAAAAACAAAAAAATTTAATGTACTTTCCTGCCTCATACTTAAATAAAAATGAAACTGATTCATTGCAAATTTAAACTTAAAAGCGACGAATGTAGAAACACGAAACAAACACTGCGTTTTTGATCTTATAAAACTCTTATATTTTTTATTTATTTTATATTTAAGAATGCTATCTAAAATGTTTTATAACTATTAATGCAAAAACTAAAATAGTATTGCCGACCATTAGGAAATAAAAAAAGGAATCTTTCGTAAAATAGTTGACTTAATATAGAGAAACTCGTCTATTGATGATGATGATGATGATGTGATGATGATGATGATGATGATGATGATGATGATGATAATAATGATGATGATGATGATGATGATGATGATGATGATAATGATGATGATGATGATGATGATGATGATGATGATGATGATGATGATGATGATGATGATGATGATGATGATGATGATGATGATGATGATGATGACAATAATATAATGTTTTATTTTTTATATACCTTTTATATTTTTAGGTTATGACTTTTGTAAAATGACTAATAGAGTTAAATAGCTTTTTAATGTTTAATTTAATAGATACGTTTCTGAACAAGTCTCCAAATTTCGAAGATAACACCAACAAAAGGAATTCTCCATTAAACAATGGTAATTAAAACATAATATTTTGATAAATAGGAGGATGAAAAGAATAGTATTTTGATAAAAAAGGAGCATAATGATATCATAATTTTATTCATATTAATGTAATCATTGTAATGATCATGTTGATGATCACTATGATAATTATAATGATAATGATCATGATATAAATATAAATATACAATTTGAGGCTTATATAATGACAAGTTACAATATAATTACATATAAACAAATTATTAATTAATTTCGAAAAGCAAAACAACAAAAAAACTTTTCAAAAAAAAGCGCACAATGCAAAAATTTAAACTTAATTTTTTCATTCAAGTTTACTCGTAACATGACTACACGCAATCACACTTTATGTTGGAAGTTATAAAACCAATGAGGATCGCGACAAGTAAAAGAAGAAATCTATATACAGAAAAATTGATTTTAATAAATAAAAAAATAAATCCATTGTATATATAATATGAAAACTCTTTAAAAACATTCTATTTAAGTACCTGGACTACTCTTTAAAGAAAAACGAGACCATTTACAACTTTGACACTTGTTAAATAAAGATATTACGTGTTATTAGTGGTAATGAGACTCCTTTTTTATTATTAAATAGAATTATTTTTTTTATTATTATGCAAAATTCTCTCTTTTAAATTTATAACTAAATAGCAAGAGTGCTTGTCTGAATTCAAAAAAATCATAATTATATATATCAAAAACTGTTAAAGTAACTGTTTTTTTTTTTCATTTGAGTATTAGATATATATGCATTAAGAATAGAATCCCACGTTGTTAAAACATATATACTAGAAATAAAGACAAAATACTTTAACATAAATAAATAATAACCATCAGAAATACTATAGCATAATTTATCATAAGATATCACACAATCTGAGTCTTTCTCTGATCACAAACAATAAATGCTAAAAAAAAAAACTTTTTTTTTATTTAATATCTTATAGTGATATTTTTACGCTGGTCTTGAAATTAGAATATGAAAAAACTGTTTCTGCATTAAACAAAGATTATTTATTTTTAATAAATAAAACAATACTTATTGATGTAAATATTGATGATTTACCTTCACTTGGGTCTAAATTAATATTAATACCTTGGTGGTCAATAAAAATAATATTGACTATAACAATTGATTTTGGAGTCTTAGAGTCTGAAGCAAAAATCTTTTAAAAAAACTTCGCTTCAGACTCCAAGCTAAAACTCGTTTACACAATCACGTGAGCAACAGTACACTAATGCTCATTTAGCCAGTGTGTGAATAAGTGAAACCTCGTTTTTTTCAAATTCTTTTGAGAAAACAACCGAGTCATCATCATCACTTTGAGACAAATAATCACAAAGAAATTTTCATTTTCATTCTGGTTACCAAATTTTTGCTTTCTTCTTCTTGATTGATGTTTGGTGTAAACTTTGATTTGCCATTATTTCTCTGGAGTTTCTTCACTACTAGAAGATGGTTCTGCCAGAGCAAAAACTTTAGAGTCGAACTTTTGCTAGTTTTTTAAATAAGTCATTTATTTTTTTAATGATAGGAACAAGAAGTTTCAGTACTATCTAGTACTGAAACTTCTTGTTCCTATCATTCTATCCTATCAAAACGTTTTTGATAACTAAAAATTAAAATTTCCACACATTATACTAAAATATTGTTTATTGACATTTTTGCTTTAACAGTTGAAGTAATATCTAATCAATAATATCAGTAATAGTCAGGTAAAGTTTAACTAATACTACTTTAAGCACCAACTCAACGATATCATCTTTGTAATTATATCAATAATTTTAATGACCATGTTGACCATCATTATGATAATAATAATGATGATAATCATGTATATATAATCATATATATATATATATATATATATATATATATATATATATATATATATATATATATATATATATATATATATATATATATATATATATATATATATATATATATATATATATATATATAAATATATATATATATATATATATAAGCAATACAAGGCTAGGTTATGACAATTTACAATATAGTTATATATATACATATTTTTAGTTCATTTTGAACATCTAAACAACAAAGAAACTTTTCAAAAAAAGTGCACAAAAAGCAAAAATTTAAGTTTAACTTTTTTATTCAAGTTTACTCGTAACATGACTACACGTAATCACACTTTATGTTGGGAGTTACAAAACCAATGAGGATCGGGACAAGTAAAAGAAGAAATCTATATTCAGAAAAAGTGGTTTTAAAACTAAAATAAAAAAATCCATTATTCATTTAATATTAAATCCGTTAACCATTACTCGATTTAGCTTATTTTATTATTATTAATAATAACATTAAAAAATTATATCTTGTTTAAATATGAGATACTGAAAACATTTCACAACAGCAATTAAAAAAACAATATCGATTTGTTTTTATTTTTTATTAAGTTTTTATCTTCATTAAACTTTTATTACATTTAAACTTCTTGAAAATATCTTTAAATCAATTTTTTAATATAAAATATTTATTTTATTATTATTAATAATAACATTAAAAAAGAAAAAAGTCAAAAGACCATTATGAACAAAAAAAAAAAAAAAAATAGCGATCAGACAAAAACTAAATAAAAACAAACAACTAAAAAAAAACACAAAAAATAAATAAAAGCTTAGAATATACTGTCTGGTGGCCAAAAAACAGTTTTGCTATCTACTCATTTAAAAGGGATCACACTTTCCTCTTTTTGTATATCTTCTATCCACACAGTTCTCTTCCACATAATTATTTTCAGTATTATCTTATAATAATTTTAACAAACAACAATAAAAAGAAAACCATAGTATGAAAACTATTTGAAAACATTATATTTAAGTACCTGGACTACTGTTTAAAGGAAAACAAGACCTTTTACATTTTTGATACTTGTTAAATAGTGATATTAGGTGTTATTAGTGGAAATAAGTTTTCTTTTTTATAATAAAATAATTTTTTTTTTATTATTCTGCAGAATTCTCTCTTTAATATTTATAACTAAAAAGCAAGAGTGCTTGATTTGATTTCAAAAAAATCAATACCAATCATATATGAAAACTGTTAAAGCAAATTTACTTACTTTATTTTCAGTATTAGATATATAAGAACACAAGATTTAAAACAAAAGAAATAATTCTGTGCATTAAGAAAAGGATTGCAATAATCCAATGTTGCTGAATCCTATATAATGCAAACAAAGACAAAGTGCTTCAACATAAATAATTAATAATCATCAAAAATACTATAACAAAGTTTATTATAAGATATCATACAATCTGAGTCTTACTCTCATTACAAAAAAAATATGCTTAAAAAGTAACTTTTTTTCTATTTAATATCTAATAGTGATATTATTACTTTGGTCTTGAAAATGGAATACTAAAAGCTGTTTCTGCATCAAACAAAGATTATTTACTTTTTATAAATAAAACAATACTTATTGATGTAAACATTGATGGTTTACCTTCATTTATGTCTAAAATAATATTAATTTCTTGGTGGTAAATACAAATAATATTGACTTCCACACATGCTATCTGACTTAACTGATTTTGGAGTCTTTAAAAAATTAAACAAGTCATAACAGTTATATAGGAGACAGGTGGGTAGAAAATTTCCTTTAGTGTAAAGGAAATTTTCTACCCTCTTGTCTCTTAAATAACTGTTACGACTGGTTTAATTTTTTCAATTAGACTTATTTTTTAGTGGAAACTTTTGAACTTCACTAATAACTAATTACTAAAATTAAGTAATTAGTTATTAGCAAAGTTCAAATCTTGATATTTTAATATTTCAATAAGTTCATTAACTAATGTGCTGGTCCAATTATTTCGAATTATGTACCGGTCCAATTATTTCGAATCTAATGGTTGTTAATTAAAGATATTGAATTGTATTGAATTATTAGCATAAACTCTCTGTCTTTTTAATAGGTTTTCCTTTTGAAAAATATGACTGTGCATGAGATTCTGCGATGTCTTATTCTTTCAAAAAGTCAGAACTTGGTTCTTGATATAGTATATCAATTATTATACTTAAAATACTATATCAAGTGCCAAGTTTATACTTAGTATATATATAGTATATCATATACCCAGTTTTTAACAATTTATTTCAATATCTATATCAATTTCAATAACTGTATATTTTCAATATCTCAATATTAACAAGTAATTATATGTTTAAAAGTATATATATATAAAAATTAGCAAAAACCTGTCTATAAGTCGCTTTTCATTAAGTATTTTTAAAATTCTCCTTGCATTTTTGGGAAGTTCGAAACCTTGATTTGAAGAAGATCATTATCTAATGTACTGGTCCCATTATAGAATAGCACAATGTTCAATGTATCATTACCAGGTTTTCCTAATGAAAAATTCGATTCAGCATGAGATGACTAAATCTTTGAAATTGTTAGAACTTGGTTCTTGATATAGCAATACTATACTAGGTTCTTGATATAGCAATACTATAAAAGTAATTGATAACAAAAATAAAAATTAGCTAGAACATGTCTATTAGTCGTTGTAAAAAGACTTCTTTTGTAATTGAAAAAAAACCTTATTAAAAATGCGTTACTTAAAAATTTTAGGAAGTTTTAGCGCTTGCGTGATATAACTAATTTTTTTTAATTTAATAAAGCATTCTTGATATTTTTTAGACGAAAAAATTATTGGACGCGAAAAAGACGTTCAAAAGACGTTTAGATTTTAATGGGACGGACGGACCCGATTTGAACGTCCTAAGGACATCTTTTTTACTTCCCATGCCCACTGGGTTCATATCATATAAAAGAAGCTTGACCTGAGCAAAACGTCCTTAAAATTTATAAGCCGTGCTAGAGAGGTTTATGTTTACTTTTATAAGTGCTACCCTATGCAATGTTTGCATGGTTGATATGGAAATAAATTAACGAAAAATATAAAATCTGTCCCCGTAAGTGTCTAACTAGGCGTATATAAACATAATTTAAAGTTTTCAATATTTTTTTTTAATCAAAAATTAGACTGCCTGGCCAAACTGAACCCTCAGTAGATATAGCAGCACTCCCTTGAGTGTTAAGCTATTTATCAGTCGATGAAGCAACACTCCGTTGCGAGTTTGGCTATAAGATAGTCGATGTAGCAACTACGCGCATATTTTAAAAAAATGTTTTAATAAAACAACAACAAAAACACAGTTATTTGAAAAAAAAACTTTCTAGTCATTATCATTGCGGTTTTAAAAAAAAAAAAATTAATTTACTTCTCTGCCTTATACTTAAATATAAATTGACCTGATTCATTGCAAATTTAAACTTAAAAACTACAAATCATATCTTACATATCTACTATCATATTTAACTTATGATTAAAAAAATATGAACGCATATGCAAAACTTTTGTTTGTATTTTTAACAATTTTTGGCAAATCATGCAATTACTTTTTTTGTATTTCATGAAACCCATTATTTGAATTATCAGGTGCATATGTATTCATCAAAAAATCTTTGCGTTCATTATTATTTCTTATTTATCTAAAAATATTAATTTTAAAAATGAAGTCATCAGCTTTGACACTGGACTATCTTTTTAAAGCATCTTTGATAAAATTAACTGGGATATCTAAGGCAACAGTTGCAAAATATTTAAAGAAAATGAGGGAAAAAATGAGCTTGGAAAGAAAGAAAGGAAGTGGTAGACCAAATAAACTTAATTTAAAGGACCAACAACAATTGATTCAATTAGCTCGATACGATGACACACGATCCGAGATATTCAAATTGAATTAATCAAAAAAGGCAGTCCTCACATTGCTTCTAGAACCATTACTTGTTATCTTAACCGAAGTAGGTACTTCAGTTTCATTCCCAAAAATCAGCTCAGTGGAAATCAACAAACAAAAAATTTAGATTATTTTGAGATAGCGATTCAAGACGTATGGAACGGACTTTCCTTAGATTTGAAGTCATTAAATGACAGTATGAACATTTGTGTTCAAAAATGTATAGAAGTCCAAGGACATGTGAACGGATATTGATCAATATATTGTTTTAAAAATTAAGATTTACTCTTTATTTTCTATTGAACAATTTTATTATCTATTTGTTATTTTGAAAATAAAACTTAAATAACCTGGTCTCATTTATTTTGTCCGGAAGGTAAATTTACTTTTTTATGCTCGTCTTACACTCAAATATTTTCTTTATTTTCAGTTTTAGTTTTTTTTTATCTTATTTTTTATTAATTTATTATTATTTAAAGCTTCAAGTCATTATTTTTTTTTATGTGCTGATATACTCAACTGTTAAACGCACTTATAAATATATTGCCGGATAATTTAAATAATCAAGCTTATCGGCAAAACTATTTTAGAGTTTTTTGCAGTAAATTTTTTACTAACAAATTTATGAAAAGATGACTTTTTTAGTATTTAATTGTTTTTAAACAATAGCTTTTTTTAGTATTTTTAAGTTTTTAGATTGACTAGAATAAATGTCGATTAGAAACTATCAACTTGTTTTTTAGTAGTATGCAAAGAATTTTTCAAAACCATAATGTTGAAAAAAGTTGTTGATAGTTATTTTTTTCGTTTCTTTTTCAACTAATAAACAATTAAAATTTAAAAAATTAAGTTATAAATAAATTTTGAGAAACCAAGCATTTGGAAGCATTACATTGTTCAGGTACTAGCAGATTCCATTTTTGCCTGGACAAAGATGAAAAAAAGGGACATCTTGTAAGTGAAGATTAAATTTAGTTTATTTTCGTAGAATCATACTAATTATTTTAATTAATATATAAAGATGCAAGGGTATTATTAGTCTTTCCAAAAATGGTTTTATCCAGCTTCAAAGGGCATTTCAGTCATCTTTATAATAATGTCAATACGACTTGGAACTGAAAAATGCAACTATTTAGTTTATTCCGAGATAATAATCATAGTTTGTATAACAATATGCTTGATAAATTAAATTAACAAATGGAGATTTATGACGAAACAAAAGTAAGATATTTCATAAAAACACAACACACGCAAATAAAGCGTTTTTACTTTATATATTTAACTAAAAAGCATTCCGGATTTTGTTAAATATTATAACATTTATCTGTCAATCTGTTTTCTTCCATCTTCTTCCTCTTTCCTTCTTTCCTTCTTCTTTAATTCTTTTTCTGCGGCTTAAATCTTTTTCTGCGGCTTTTGTCTTCTCTATACTCATGTCTATTTTCTTTTTTTCAAGATTCTAATTTTTAGAAAAAAGGCTTAAAAAGAAAATAAAAATCCCTTACACGTCTTGGAACAAATTCTCAAGAAAATTTATAGAAAGTTTTAATAAATTACATTTAAAAGTATTAACAAAGGTTTTTCTGTTTATGGTAATATTTTTCAATCTTACCTATAATTAATTACAATATTTTGAATATATATTTAACAAACATTTTTTGCGCATTAGGGAATGATAATCAATTTCCACTGACTTCAAAAATTGTTGAGAGAGTTGCCTATTTAATTGGGGATAAATATGGCAGTTTTGGACGTCATCTTGGTTTAGATCAGTATGATATTAAAATCATTAAAAACGATGAGCAATCAACGCAAGCAAGAGCAACAGCTGTTATAGATTTGTGGATTGAACTTAATCATATCTCAAAATGGGAACAGCTAAAAAAAGAGTTAATATCATTTAAACGTATAAATACTGTTGAAATAATCGAGAAAGAGTTTGCATATAAATAGTGAGTAAAACAACTATTAATTTATTTTTAATTAGTAACTCAGGCCAAAAAAATTTCATATGGCATTTATTTTCATTGATTTAAAATATACCTTAAGGTAATAATACAGCGTAATTATTCTATATAGTATATAAAAAAATTTATTATATACAGTAAACCTAAAAAAAATGCCATAGATTCTTTGTTTTAAGATTTATAAAGTTATAAAAAAAATAATTTTTTATTAAGCCTGTTTTTTAAAATCCATTCTACAAAAAAAAATAGTAACAATAATTAAATTAAATATCTGCATTTATAATTCATTTAAAACGTATATATATATTTTTTTAAAAACTTAAAACTAATATTATATATTTTTATATGATAGCATAACTGATCTACAAAACAAATCATTATCTTTTTAACCTTCGATTTCAATATTATTTTCTATGCATTGTTCTTTATTGTATAAATTATCTTTATTTAAAGTGAAATTTGTAATGACATCGGAAAAAAGCTAATGGAACCATCAGTCAACCTTGATAAGTTACATTGGTTATCAATACATATGCATGCTTTGAACTCTTCATTATTGCTGTCACAAAACTTTTTAATTGTTGAAAAAGTGAAATTAAAAAAGTGGTAAAAGGCAGAAGTCAATTACTTCATCTTTATTTGTATACTTCTTGAAAAACATTTCAAAACAGAAGGCATTAAAATCTTTGTGTTAATTAGCGAATAAATTAGAAATATAGTCCTTTAGTCACTAAATATGCTTTAATATTTTTAAAAAATTTCATTAAGAATTTCAAGATTGGGTACATTGAATCAGGAGGTTGTGTTGTTTTTAATGAAAATTCTTGGATGACGATTCTGCCAAATCAATTAACATATATATTTTTTAAACTTTTTAAAAAATCATCTATTATAGGTTTTTGGTGTGTTTATAATTGTCTCAGTTTTACTTATATGTTTTCTTTTTAAACAACTAAAAATAAAATGACTTTGTATTTTGATGTGAAAAACAGAAATGTAATCTTCAAAATTATTTTACAACCAATAAGCTAATTTACTTTTATAGCGCCCATCGTTTATGCTAAAACAATACAGTTTGAAGAAATGTTTGTAGATGAGCTATTAAGTAGAGATTTTGTAGATATTATCTATTAATTTTTTAAATTTTGTTCTTAAGCAGCCGTTTTTTGTTTCGCATCATAAGTTAAATTGTTCTATTACAAAAAAAGTTTTATTTATATTTTATTAATAGAACTTATAATCATGGTAAAATAAGCAGTTAATGTTGTTTGCTTGAAATAGTGTTGTGCCTTTTCATTAGATTGGTAGGTTTTCTTGAAGCACCTTCATAAAAAAAAACCATAAATATCACGCCAAGGTAAATCTTGCCAAAATATATTTAAAAACTAATATCAACATAAAATCGAGATATTTCAATTATTAATTATAGTAAGAAAGGCTGATGAAATAATGATTTTATAATGTAATATAAAAGGGAGTTTCTTACTTTGAAACTTTAAACTAATTTCGTAGATTTGATATGTTAGATTTTAATACAAAGTAGTTTGTTCTTTTTTCTCAAAGTTATGAAGTAACTTTTTTTAAATATGTTATTAATATGTATAATTAATAATTTTTAAATAACATACCTATTTATTAATTGGTTTTTAATAATTTAAACCAGCTAGTAAAGTAAAATATTCAAAATTAGTTAAAATATTCACAAGTTTTAATTAATTTAATTTACCTGCTGTCTAGAGCATTACTGATAATGTTTTGAGCAAATTTGTTGATTTCAACACGTAACGATTTACAATATGTATTTTTTATGTTAAATTTGTTACGTTGAATGATGTCAGTAGGATTGTAAATAAATATACCTACACTCTCATTTTCTCAGATATTGCACATTTGATAAACTGATTTATTTAGTAGTTTTGATTTATAATATTTATGTTTTTTACGGCAGTTTTTAATTTTGTTCGAAGTTTATGAAAAACTTTGCGAAAACCACTGCTTTGAAGTTTTAATTAAAAAGTATGTATCAAGTTGATTGATTTTATCATTTTTGAAAGTAAAGTCTAAGTTATGTAAGTACTTTTTTTACTTTACACAATTAAGCTTAAGCATATTTTGACACAAAAAAATTATTTAAATGTCTTATTTTTTTTGGTTAAAAAAAGCGAAGTCGTTCAGCGTCAAGATTTACTCATTTTAACATATCTAAAATTAGCATACACAAAAAACATTCTGTATAACTAGCAAAAATAAGGCTTATTTGAGATGCTTGTGTCTAATTTTATTAATTATTTCTTTAATTAATAAAATTTTATTAATTATTTGTTTAATTAATAAAATTTTATTAATTATTTGTTTAATTAATAAAATTTTATTAATTATTTGTTTAATTAAGAGTAATGTACAAGGCTAGAAATGCTTTAAATAAACACAGTTTAACACAATTATATTTCTCTTTAATCCATTGCCATATAAAATATGCAAATATTGCTTGGGGTAATACCAATAAATCTAAACTGCTACCTCTTTATCGTCAGCAGAAGCATGTTGCTCGGCTTATCAATTATAAAGATCGATTTGCTCATGCCAAACCATTATTATTTCAAATGAAAATTCTTAATATTTATCAGCTAAATATTTTTAATATACTTTGTTTTATGTTCAAGTGTAAAACCAACGAATCTCCAGTTTTTTTTCATAATCTATATACCTTAAAAAATAAAAATAAATATAACTTAATATATAAATATAAATATAAGAAATGATAATCAAATTCAGCAACCTTTATCTTTAACTAATTTTGGAAAGTCATGTATTTCATATCGAGGAGCTTTTCTATGGAACAAAATAGTTTTAAAAAATTTTGATTTTTCCCATGAATGGAATTATCTTTCATTCAAGAAAAAACTAAAAGAAATTGTTTTGTCTTTTGAAGACATTTTTTTATATTTTTAAATTCTTTTAAAAATGAATATGAAGTTTACTACATAAGGTAATATATAAATATTATATCTAATCCATAGCTTATGTGTTTGTGAAAACAGTACTTTTTAAAATATTTTTGTATTTATATATAAAGAGTATCAACAATTTCTTTATTCCAATTTTATTTATATATTATTACGAAATTTACGTTCTCGCTAATTTTTAATACGACATTGTTTAGATTTTATACTTCATTATAATTTAATGTACTTAATATTCACCAGCGGTTCTCGATGATAAGACCTGAAGGTCTTCTGCGAGTCTCCGCGTTCTTTCTTTTGTGTATATATTTTCTTTTATTGTATAACGATTTTTATCTCAACTATCTTATTGTATAACTATATTGAATATTCAAGAAAAAAAAAAAATTAGAGTATAAAACTTTTATTAAAAAATAAATTGCTCTTATTGCCCACCCTCACTAGTAAAAAATGGAAAAAGTCTCTAATAAATTTAAAGAGAAAACTATAGCAAAATTGAAAAACTAATTTTTTTTATTTAAGTATAATTTTTATTTATTTTTGAGAACAAATCACAAATTTGTTATTTTCTTTTCGTTCGAACATACAAAAAGTTACAAAACCAAACAAAAAAAGGGAGCAAGGAAATCTTATTTAAATAGCCAGAAAATGATAAGTGCCTAAAAATCTCTTTTATGTAAAGGAATTACCATATACCAGGCATCCAAAGATTTTAGGTGTGACAGGAGAGCTCTCTCAAAATGAGTGAAAGGTGAGCTATTTGTTGATACTCATCGAGAATGAAAAAATATTTTGACTTCAAAGCAGGAAAAAGAACTGTCAAAATGCCTTATTTTATTTGCTGATTGTGACTGGGGTTACTATAGGTGAGGTAAGTTTAGTTGAAAAAGCATTAAGAAATGCTTCCTAGTCAGATATTTAACTCTGATGAATCAGGGTTGATCACTGACCTAAAAGAAGAAATTGGATTAGCAAAACGAGGTGCTGCTATAGTATCGCAAAGAATTGGTGGTTCTGGCCGGGAGCAAATTACTGTAAAATGTGCATGCTCTGCTAGGAGACCGATATTGCCACCATATGTAATCTATTTAGGAAAAAATTCGAATATGGACTTGTTTAAAAGTGGCCCTGACGGAGATGTTTATACTACTAGTAATAAGGGCTGGATGGAGTGTCTTCATTTTTTTGAATGGTTTCAAAACCTATTTGTAATGTAGACAAAGCATTTTGAAAACCTCACACGTGTACTTATGTTTGATGGCCATACTTCTCATATTATTCACACACACACCCCACCCTCTACTTATCGATTTGGCAAAAAATATATACATATAATGTTATTCTTCTACGCATTTTATCCATCTTCTTCGACTTTTAGATACATCTATTTTTCAACCTGTAAAAAGTAGATGGAAAAGTTTGCTTCTAAATTTCGCTAGAACACTTTATGGACCAGTCTCAAAAAAACATTTTTCATGATTACTACGTACCCAATTTCAGAGGACCTTTACTGCGTAACAAATCAAAAGTGGTTTAAATGAACTGGCATTTTCCCTCTAAACAAGGATGCTATTGATACAAACTTGTTTAATTGATGTTTTTAGTTACCAGTAAAGAAATATACATTCACCATTAAAATAAAATCTAAATTAACCTCTCAAGATCATGTTTAATGCCTAACCTTCAAAGCATTTCTGTTAATGCTTCCTTTTCAACATCAATATTATCTGCTTCATCGTTACCCATTTCTACATCATCTTCAGAAGGTTTATCTATCAAAAATTTATTTAAGCAATTACAATTACAGTCTAAATGTGCAGAGACCTCTTATTGTAAAATATCTACTATATTTGTTTTGTTTCACCGTGGTGAAACATAAACATCAGAACCTTTAAAAAAACAAGAAAAAAAATACATAAAAAAAAGAGTTCCTACAGATATTAATGATAATTGTTATGATGACAGCAATGACAATGTATGTCCTAATTATGGTGTTTATGGAGATAAAGTGATAAGTGGGTG